TAAATATTTTTGTGCATGTGGGTCCTTTTCCCATTTTTATGGGATACAGCTCTAGAGGTGCTATTGGTAGGTCAAAGGGTATGCACATTTTTATAGCCCTTTGGGCATAGCTCCAAATTGCTCCCCAAGATTGTTGGATCATTTCACAACTCCACCAACAATAGTGTTCCAATTTTCCCATATCTTCTCCAACATTTATCATTTTCCTGTTTTGTCATGTTGGCCAATCTGATAGGTGTGATGTGGTACCTCAGAGTTGTTTTGATTTTCATTTCTCTAATTAATAGTGATTTAGAGCACTTTTTCATATGACTATAGATGGCTTTAATTTCTTCATCTGAGAACTGTCTGTTCATATCCTTTGACCATTTATCAATTGGGGAATGACTTGTATTCTTATAAATTTGACTTAGTTCTCTATATATTTCAGACATGAGGTCCTTATCAGAGACATGGTTGTAAAAATTCTTTCCCAGTTTTCTACTTCCCTTCTAATCTTGGTTGCATTGGCTTTGTTTGTGCAAAAACTTTTCAATTTAATGTACTCAAAATTATCCATTTTGCATTTCATTAGTGTTCTCTATCTCCTGTTTCATCATGTATTCTTCTGTTCTCCATAAATCTGACAGGTAAACTATTCCTTGCTCTCCCGGTTTGCTTATAGTATCAGCCTTTATATCTAAATCATGAACCCATTTTGACTTTATTTTGGAATATATGGTGTAAGATTTTGGTCTATGCCTAGTTTCTGCCATACTCTTTTCCAGTTTTCCCAACAGTTTTTGTCAAATAGTGAGTTCTTATCCCAGAAGCTGGGGTCTTTGGGTTTAACAAATAATAGATTACTATAGTCATTGGCTACTGTGTCTTGTATACCTAACCTATTCCACTGATCCACCACTCTATTTCTTAGCCAGTATCAAGCAGTTTTGATGATTGCTGCTTTATAATACAATTTAAGATCTGGAGCGGCTAAAAGTGGTCTTATTCTTTACCAAGGCTAACACCTCTACTTGCTCAAGTGATTCCATTCCATGCCATCTTTTCTAACATACCACCCCCTTTGTCACCCTATTCTATCACTTATTTTCAATCTCTGTCTACTGGTTCATTCCCTACTGCCTGAAAAACAAACAAACCCCATGCTCATGTCTCTCCCATCCTGAAAAAAACCCCTTGATCCTTCTTTTCCTGATTACTCTGTTGTACATTCCTTCAGCCCTTTGTGACTAGACTCCCTGGAAAGGCCATCTATAGTAACTTTCTCTCCTCTCCTCTTTTCTTAACCCCCCGCAATCCAGCTTCTGACCTTATCATTCCACTGAAACTGTTCTTTCCAGAGTTACCAGTGGTCTCTTAATTGGCAGATCCAATGGCCTTTTCTCAGTCTTCATTCTCCTTTATCTCTCTGCAGTCTTTGGCACTGTTATCACCCTCTTCTCTTTGATAATCTCTTCTCTCTAGGTTTTTGGAACACTGTACTCTCTTGGTTCTCTTCCTACCTATCAGACCATTCCTTCTCACTCTTTTGCTAAATCCTCATGCAGATCACACTCTCTAACCACAGGTGTCTCACAGAATTCTTTCTTGGGTCTTCTTTTCTTCCTCTACACTACTTGAATTGGCAATCTAAGTTCCCATGGACTTGATGATTTTCAGATCTATCCTGCCCCAATCTCTCTGCTTACCTCCAATTTTGCATCTTCAGCTGCTTTTCAGACATCTCAAACTAGATGTCAGTAGACATCTTAAACTCAATATGTCCAAAACTGAACTCATCTTTCCCAAACCCTCCTGCACTCCTATTTTCCCAATTACTGAAGAAGAACCTATTACTCGGGTTCACAACCTAGGAGTCATCTTGGATACTTCACTTTCTTTCATCCCCCAATCTCTTGCCAAGGCCTGCCAATTTCACCTTTGCAAGATCTCTCTAATACCCGGCTTTCTTCCTCTCTTTCCTTGCCCCTGCCCTGCCCCCTTCTCTCCTTTGACACTGTCACCACCCTGGAGAAATGCATCATCACCTCATACTTGCACCATTGCAATAGCCTGCTGGTGGGTCCTGCCTGTCTCAAGTCTCTCTCCACTCCAATCCATCTTCCATTCAGCAACTAAAGTGATTTTCCTACATTGAAAGTCTGATATATCACTCAATAAACTCCAGTGGCTCCCTATTACACCCATGATCAAATAGAAAATTCTCTGCTTCAGCATTCAAATCCTTTATAACTCAGCCCCTGCCTACTTCTCCAGTCTTCTTACACCTTACTCCCCAACATATACTCTTTGATCCAGTGACACTGGCCTCCTGGCTGTTCCAAGAACAAACACTCCATCTCTTGGCTCTGGGCATTTTCTCTGGCTTTCTTCCATGCCTGGAATGACCTTGCTCTTCAACTCTGTCTCCTGACTTCCCTGGCTTCTTTTAGGTCCTAACTAAAATCCCATCTTCTACAGGAAGTCCTTCCAAACCTCTCTTAATTCTAGGGCCTTTCCTGTTATTTCCTATTCATCCTGCATGTATCTTGTTGCACGTATTTATTTGCTTGATGTCCCCCCCATTAGACTGTGAGCACCCTGGGGCAGAGATTCTCTTTTGCCTCTTTTTGTACCCCCAGCACTTAGTACAATGCCTGGCCCATAGTTAGGTGCTTAATAAATGCTCAATGACTGATTACCACTTCCGGAAAAATCCTTCCTCTGCTGCCATCGATCAGAAATGTCTCCTTTGAGGTTCATTCTGTCCATCTACATCAGCTGGTCTACATTCTTGTGGCAGCTATATGCTGCCTTCCAGGTATTCTCCTTCCTTTCTCAGAGAATTCAGTACTTGGCTTAATGTCTTCTTTCATCACCAAACTCTGTCCTCATCCTTATCGACCTCAAGATGCGTGGTGGTATTCCTTTGAACATCTTAGCCTCCTAATTCATTAACCTTCTCAACTCCCATAACATACATCTTCACTCCACAGCAATCATCTAGGGTGATGGTCACAACTTCAATAGCAGCAGCACTTAGAACTAGTCTACTTTCAGGATCTTGAATGCTAAAATTCCTTCCTCTAAATATAACTTCCTAGACTTTGTTCCTTCTGCTCCATTCTACCTAAACCTATTCTTTGAACCCATGAAGTCCATCTACTCTATCTTGAGAAGCAAATTATACCCCAAATACATAACAGTCATTCATTTGGGCTACAATTTCTACTCCAAGACAGGGTGGAATAAGAGCTGACTGTGAAGACATTCTATATATGAGCTCCTATATTACTTACTCTCAAGGAGCTCGCATTATAATTTTGGGAGACTAAAATACTATATATGATATGTATACCATATACATTATATGTACATTGTATACACATACACACACATTTGGTGTAGACACATTATATATTGTGTATATGTACATATATAATACACACATATAATGTATGTCACATATAGTACATATGTGCCCCAAATTAGGTGAGCTCTTTGAAAACAAGCACCATAACGATCTCCTATGTACCCCTAATGCTTAGCACATAGTAAGCAATTAATACATTTTTAAAGTTTCTTCATTCTATTTTTTCTTGTCTGAAGATTATCATTACCCATGACAGAGAAAACAGAAGCAAAATAAGAGTTTGAGTAGTACTTTCTTAACAGTTAGCCATTTTCCTCATTCCGTCCACCCTAAGCAGTGGTCCCATCTTTGATTCTCCTTTTCCTCAATGTCTTAAAAGAAAAAAAAATCAAAATAAGCTTTTTTAAAGTTGTCTTTTGCACTTCTTGCCAGCCTAGGTTCATTCTGAGCTCCATTGGTCCTGACCCTGATATTTTAGAATTGCCACACTTTTGCATTCATTTTATCTGCCCATGCTTCCATAGTCTGGACACACCTTTCAAAAATCTCAGAGTACACATACAAGTATTCTCAGACATCTCCTTTTCCTTCTCACTGAACTGTTTCTTTTTGTGCTTTTGAGATCACTCTTGAGAGCCTTCCATTCCTCCTGGCCTCTGACTTTGCTAAAGAAACTTTAGACAACTCGATCCTATTCTTTCCTTCAACCTCTTGAACTCTATGCAGCCAGTCTTGGAGCCCTGTCAAGCTTAACTCTCTTGTCAAATGGTCTAACATGGAGCAATCACATCCCCCTTAAGTTGTTCCCTCTCTCATGCCTTCATTCTCTTTTTCACTACTAACTAGTTCTCATCTGCCTCCAAACATATTTTGGCACCCCGCTATCATAAAGCTCTTCTGTGACTCATTAGTCTTTTTTCTTTCATTTTTAAACTTTTGGAAAAAGTTATCCATGTCAAATACCTCCACTGATTCTTGAAGGCAGGAACTTACTTTATTTAGCATTTCTATTTTTTCCCAGTACATAGAGCTCTGTATATAACTTCTGGAGAATGAAAAAAAAATACAGGGTGGCTGAAATGGGAAAGAACAAAATGATCAGGTTCTTCTTCAAAGTGAACTAAAAACGCATTCTCATCCTTGAGTCAAAATATCTCACTGATTATAGTTTGGGAAAGACCGAACCTTACAAGTTGATAAAGGGATCCTCTGTATCACCCCTGCTCCCTTACCCTGACCCCACCAGAATATAAGAATGTACCTCCCTTCCTTCTTTGCAGAGGTGGTAGATTACGGGTGTGAAACAGCTCACATGGCATTTGAATTTGTAGATGTGTTAGTTTTGCTGACTTCCTTTTCTCTCCTGGTCTTTTTTTGACTCGTTTGGGTGGAGGAGTAATTATTAGGAAATGAAGGCAATGTAAGAAAAGGTATCAGTAAAACTTTCAAAAGGCTCAACAGAGGAGAAAGTGAAGACATTTTTCCAGAACACTGACACCAACTTGTATAATGATCAATAGAGTGCTTCCTCATACTTCTAATACAAATTAGGAACTACTATTTAAGATTTTGAAATATATATCCTAAGATATCTGGCAGCACATTGTTCAAGAAATATCATTTACATCTAGTGAAGTGACAGCTTCAATATTTTCCTCATTTATGTTTATTCCCAATATAATAAAGTTTTACCTAGCACCAGCTTCGCTAGAGGCAAGGGAAAAGTTCACAGAAATATTTATTTAAAACCCATTACCCAGCAATGAAGAAGAATCAGACAATAAGAATAACGGAGTCTATGGAAATGTCTAGACAAAAGTGATTTATGTGTAAATTAAATGAGTTTTTCATTAAGATACAAAAATCATTTCAGAATAGGACGAAAAAGTCAATCTCTATAACCCCATTTTATACAATATGACAAGTAATGGACTAGAATGGTGTTTTGCAGACTGGCATCACAGGAAGTTCAGTCTCTTGATGTTACAATCGAGGGGCTCCATAATCATCCGGCATTCTCTCGATGTTATACCTATTTACAACAAAGAATTAACACACTGTTCAGAAAGCCTGAAGAACCTATTCAGTGGCCTTTATTTTGCTTTGTATTAACTAGCTCTGATATTCTCTCCTTGGCCTTCCAGCATGCAACACAGAAGGGCATAAAATTCCTCTTAGAATCCAGAATCATTCAGGTACTGAAAGAAATGCTGAAGAACCAGGAGAACACCGTACACGGTAAGAGCAGCACTGTGCAATGATCAGCTATGCCTGACTTAGCTCTTCTCAGCTATGAACCAAGATAATTCTAAAAGGCGCCTGATGGAAAATGCCGCCACACCCAGAGAAGGGACTGATGGAGTCTGAACGCAGGTCGAAACATGCCGTTTTCACTTGACTTTTTTTTGTTTTCCTTTTGGTCTGTTTCTTCCTTCACAACATGACTAATATGGAAATATGTTTTCTGTGACTGTACATCTATAACCTATATCAAATTGCTTACTTTCCTAGGGAGTGAGGAAGGGGGGGAGAAAACTTAGGACTCAAAACTTTATAAAAAATGAATGTCAAAAATTACATGTAACTGGAAAAAATGAAATGTTATGAAAGAAAGAAAGAAATGCTGAGGAATTTGCAGTACAGTGTACTAGCTTTGATTAGGCTGAGAGTCCACAGTATAGAAAAAGAGGGAAACAATTCAGATCGGGGGACAGACTTAAAAAATTCTGGGAACGTAAAAGCAGTTCTTTTATAAACCTTTAGCTAACCAGAGTTGAAGAGGTCAGAGAGATTTTTGACACATTTAGGTCTTAGACCTGGATCCTGACTTAAGTGATTTCTGTGTCTAAAACCAACTACTCCCAGCTCCTCCCATCACTATCTCATATATATATATATATATATATATATATATATACATATATATATATATATATATGTATATATATATATATATATATATGTATATTTTGCTTTTTGGTGGGGCAATCAGGGTTAAGTGACTTGCCCAGGGTCACACAGCTAGTGAGTGTCAAGTGTCTGAGGCCAGATTTGAGCTCAGGTCCTCCTGACTCCAAGGCTGGAGCACTATCTATTGTGCCACCTAACTGCCCCCTACTATCTTGTATTTCTGTACCATCCACTTTCATTCCTAAAACTTTCTTTTGTCCTTTTCCCTATTGGTTGATCTTTTTTTCTCTTCTGATATTTAACTATTTAAATATTGGACACAGAGCAATCTATAAGATCTTGCATCTTCACCTAATCTTTAAAAGAATAAACATACCTGAAAGGGCATAAAAAATCATGAATACTTTTAAACTAACTTGAATGACAATAATCTTATCATCATCATCTTCAGACATGTCTCACCTGTGGTTAGAAATGTACATGATAGGAACTCCAGGGATCTTCCGGATTCTTCGTTTAAGGTCTCGATCAACTGTAGCCACAATGTAACACTTGTGCTGCAAGAGGGACAGGGACTGAGATTATCTAGAATATACACATACCAGTGTATAGCTTTCACAGAATAATACTAATGAGAAAGGCTACCAAAACAACCTAATGCATAAAATAAGTAGATTTCTGGATGGGAGACTCAGTTACTCTCCAAGAGACTAACATGAGTAGCTATGGTCTATCCTTCCTTTTTTCCTCTCACTTGCTTATGAACAGATTCCATGTGATTTCCCCCCAGGATTTGTGGATGTTTTTTGGGCTATATGCAGAATATATTTCACCAATTATTAAGCAACTTTTTCTAGGCTAAACACAAGGGAGACCACTCAAAATGGATACCTGAGTGACCCTCTGGACTAAGCAATCATCTGCATATGTGCCTTTGTGGGAGCATGGTAATCGTTCAAATCGTGGGTCCTTGGCAATCCTGTAAGGAGAGAAACGCTGAATTCAGAGATGTGTCTATGCAATCCAGTCACTACAATTTTCAAGCAATGGATTCACAACAGAATTCATAAGGAGATATTAATGTCAGCATTTCCTTATATAGTTCAGTTCTTCAGTGACTTGAATAAAGGCATAGATGACAATCCTGTTAAGAACAAGCTGGACTATGCCATTCTGGAAAGCAATTTGGAACTATGTCCCAAAAGTTACTAAATTGTGCATATCCTTTGATCCAGTGAGACCACCTGTAAGTTTATTATACCTGAAAGGTATAAAATAAGGAGGGAAAAGACCTAAACACAAAATATTTATAGCATCACTTTTTATTGCAGTAAAGAATGGAAAACTAAGTGGGGGGGGCTTTTCCTTAAACTAAACTTAAATTATTAAATTATTAACTGAAATTCTGTTAAGTCAGGGGTTCCTACATAATAACATAAGAGAACAAGAAGCTTAAAATATCACCTCTAACAGAAAATGGAGATAAAATTTTAAAAGTTGTACAAAAACATGAATATATTAACCAAGAAATCCTAGCTTATGAGTTTTAGAGCTTTGAATTCTCAACTGCAACTCTAGAGGTAATTAGCTTTACGTGTATTTTAACTAAGTTAATAAGATGAGAAAATTTAGGACAGCAAATAAATGAAATGGGACCAAAGGAATCCCCAGTATGTCCCTACCTCAGGGCTACTCGGTACTTCTGTCCCAGTTTTTCAATTTCAGCCATTACACAGTCAGTTATGCAGGGAATGCCTATATGTAATTAAAAAAATTACCATTCATACCTGTGAAGAAATCTGTATCACTTTGCTTATGATATGCTCTAAGAGACAAAATTAATCTGACTTTCAGATGACACTGTGGCTTATTTAGAAAACCTCCAGAGAACTGGCAAAGAAACTGAGATGATTAACAATTTCAGTAAAGCAGCAGGTTATAAAACGCATGCACTGAAATCATCAGCATCAACCCTATTCAGTTAGTCAATGGCGATACAATAAAAATGTTAAAACTACCCTCTAAGTTTCAACCAGAACAAATTACCAAGGAGTTACTTTACAGAATTAGAAAAAAATAGTAAGAAAATTCATTTAGAGCAAAGGTGCTTAACCTTAATTATGCCATGTACCTCTTCGGTAGGTTGGTGAAATCTATGGACTCCTGCTCAGAATTCTGTTTTTAAATGCATACAGTACACAGCAGTACAAAAGAAATCAATTATATTAAAACAGTTACCAAGTTCCATAGACTCTAGGTTAAGAGGAACAGAGATCTAAAATTTCAAGGTTAATAACTATATTATAAAATAATAATCATTAGAGCTTTCTGGTACTGGTGAAAAAAGAGGAAAGTAGATCAGTGGAATACACTAGAGTGACAGATTAAACCTAGAAGCCATCAAATGTGGCAATATTCAATAAATCCAATAACACAAACCTCTTGGAGAAGAACTCCTAATTCAACAAAGACTGGGAAGGCAGGAAAACATTGTGGCAAAAATTACATTCAGAATAGTATCTTATGCTATATACCACAATAAACTCCAAATGCAACAAAACAGAGGTGGCACCTTTCAGATCCATGATTAGAATCCTTAAAAAAATTTTTTTTTTGGCATTTTTTGTTTTTACATTATCTTTCTTTTTGAATATATTCCTCTTCCATCCCCTATCCAGTTAATTATTCCTTTTAAACAGAAAATAAAAGAGAGGGGGAAAAAAAAGCAGTTCATCAAAACTAACACATCAATGGAGTACAAGTATATTGTTTCATGTTAGGAGGAGAATTCTTAACCAAACAAGGAACAGAGGTGATCAAAAAAGAGAAAACACTTTAACTGCATAAGATCTAAAACAAAACACAACAAAACCTTTACACGAACAAAATCAATACAGCTAGAAACAAAAAACTCAAGAAAAATACCTTTGTATCAAATATCTGATAAAAGCCTGATATCCAACCTATATCAAGACATATAGTGAACAAATATATAAGATCAAGAGCTATTCTGAAAAGATGAGCATTCAAAGAATATGAACAGTTTTCAAAAGAATTGCAAACTATCAAAGAGATGAAAGAATGCTCCAGATCATTAACAATAAGAGAAATGCAAATTAAAACAATTCTGATGTATCTTACGCTCCTCAAAGTGGCAAAGATGATAGAAGACATAAACAGTTAATGCTGGAGGGGCTGAAAGAGGCCAGGCACATTAAGATACTGTTGGTGAAGTTGCAACATGGTCTAACCATTTTGGAAAACAATTTGGAATTGTAGGAAAAAAGTCTCTGCACTGTTCCAATCCTTTGACACAATGGTAATCTCATGACTGGGCATGTTTCATGATGGTTAATGACAGAAAATACCAAAAAAATTCAAAGTAGTATTTTTGTAATAACAGAAAGCCCAAAACAAACAAAAATCCAAAAAGTGGGTAGCTATTAGTGAGGAAATGGTTCACCAAACTGTGGCATATGAATCTAACAGTATAATATTGCACAGTTAAATAATTTTCAGGAATCTGGAGAAACACAGAAAGACATATAAGAACTGACAGAGAGTAAAATGAACAGAATTAGGACAATATAGACAATTACTACAGAACGCAAATTAAAACCGAAAAAAATCAGCTGAATTCTGATTAATTATAATGAACAATCTTGGTTCCAGAAAAAAGAAGACGAAACAAGCTCTCTCCTCTCAGTATAGGCAGGGAACTATAGCTATGCAACATGGTACTGTCAAACTGTTAAAAGTGGTTGTTACACCGCTTAACAGTTTTTGTTATGATGAGGCAGGAGATTACTATAGTATGGAAAAACAAGGTATTAAAACTACTTTAAAAGAAGTACAACTATGGGAGGGTATAAAAATCACCCTCCATGGGATTATCCTCAAAGGTTAATGAGAAAACTGAAACTTCCCTATAGTTGTCCATTTTACTTATTGTATCAATGATTTCTATACTCCAGTCCTTCAAGAACATCCATGATTTCATCAATATGGGTATACCCTCTACTGAGACAGATAGCAACATCTTCACACTGTAACAAAGCATTTCACTGCATTTCTGTGACCAAAAAAAAAAAAATCCTGCTGGTCAAACTTTCTGGTGATAACTCAGGTCTTAGCCATGTGAGGCCCATAAGTGAAGCAAGTTCAACTTGGTAGGCCATGGCAGAACTTATGCCCCACAAAAACCCAAGGTCATTTTTTACCATGACAACATATAAACTTCTATATATATAAAATAAAAATTTATGCACAAAAATAGCATAGGTCTTCTTCATGACGTGTTTGAGTGGAAAACATGGGCAAAACATGGGAAGATTGCTCAAGTGTCAGATCGATATTCATGAAATATTGAAAGATCCAGAGAAAGGCCTATAAGCATAAGGCAGATCCTATATGAAGAATTTATGAAATGAAAGGATGAATTATATTGATAAGGTACAGATGGGTTGCAATCAGTACTGGTGGTAGGATTACTTGCACTGATCTGTAGAGCCAACAAAGTACATGGTATATCGATCAACAAACATATGAAATGAGGTCCATTCCTTATTGAAAAGGAGAGAGAAGTGACTTACAGCATACTGAAAATTCAATGATTTTCATATTAAAAGTTCAATAGAATTTATAAAATATTATACATTGATATTTGAAGCTCTAGAGCAGGCCTGTACAACTTGTGACCTTTAAAGGCACTAGGAAATTCTGAAGCAACTTCTGGAAAAAGAAGTTATATCCAGATATTTCTGGATTAAGTGCTTTTACTGTATTCCAATTCCTTGAAAATTGACAGTTGTCATAATAAGTAAATATAGACATAAGCTCTTAGGCTGACGAGAATTTCTCATTTCACAACCATTTTAGGTAAATAGAACTTAACATATTTTAGGGCAGAGACTGTTTCATTTTTGTCTTTGTATTCCCAGGATATGGCACATAGTAAGTGTTTTAGTAAGTGCTCATTGATTAATTTGTTATAGAAAAAGTCTTATTCCAAGGACAATACTCACACTTGGCATACAGACAATCCATCATTGACTGCACTAAGTCCAACTTGGCTTTGATAGAGAAGTTGATAAAGTTGGTATCAACCAAGATGTAGTAAGGGGGTCCCAACTGTGTGTTATATTGGAAGAACAAGCAGGACGGGTGCTGGGGACTAAAAGACAAGAGTATAAATTAATTTAAAATGATTTTTACTCAGTACCAACAATACACTTGACAACAACTAAAGTCCTCTGACAGTTAAGAGGAGTTCGAACTCTGAAGAGGCATGTTCTATGAAGAGTGTGGCACATTAACAAAGTGAAAGGGACTCTGAGGCTTAACTTCTTTTCCCTATTCTTCCTACAAAGAGAAAGACTTTAGACAGCAAATGGAATGCTGGGCAGTGATGAGGAAGCAGAGGTGGGCTGAAGGCCAGGTTGTGAAGGCCTTTATGAGGAACTTATGTGGGATGCCTGATGCTACAAGGAGTCACTGGGGGAGTGACAAGGGCAGACCTGCACTTGAGGAAAATCACTTTGGCAGCTGAGAGGAAGATGGACTAGAATGGGACAAGATTTGAGACAGAGAGACCAAGGAAAAGGCTCTTGTACAGGCAACAGGTGATGAAGGCCTGCACTAGGGTGGTGTCCAGGTGAGTAAAGAGAAAGGAATGGATGTGAGATACATTATTGTGGTAGAAATGACAAGATCTGGCAAGTGATGGCATATGCGGAGTGACTACATGAGTAAAGAGTCAAGGATAATGCTCAGGTTGATAAGAAAAACAGGGAAGATGGAAAGTGGGGTGGGTTTTTTGGGGAAAGATAACAAGTTCAGTTTTGAATACCCCAAGTTTGAGAAGCTTATGAGACATCTAGTTTAAAATACCCCAATAAAGAATGGGAAGCAGAGGACCAGAGCTTAGAAGACAGATTAGAATTGAATATATGTATTTGGGAGACATCTGTATGGAGATAATTAAACTCATGGGAGCTACTGAGGTCATACAGTGAAAGAGCATATAGCTGAGAAATGCAGAAAGATGAAGATTGGGAAAAGGCCATTAGATCTGGCAAATAAGAGACCATTGATAACTTTGGAGACAGCAGTTTAATTAGAAGCCACGTCGAAAGAGATTTAGAAAAGTAAGGGAAATCAGGCAATGGGGATACACAGCTTTTTTCTAAGAGGTTGGCTATGAAAGGAAGGAGAGATATTTGCTTGAGAGGGTTGTAGAGTCAAAGAGGATTTTTGTAAGTAAAGGAGACTTGGATGCATTTGTGAACAGCAGGAATGGAAGGGATGATTGTGGAGGAAATCTATTTGAAAAGATGGGAGGGGGTGGGATCAAGGGAACATGAAGAAGGGTTGGCCTTGATAATAGGAGTCACTTTTTCATCAGAAGTGGAATACAGGTGAGATTAAAGGATGATATCAAGGGGTTTCAGAGATACAGAGAAAGGGAGAAGAGGCAGCTTATGGCAAAAGGTCTTTTATTTTCTCAATAAAATATGAAGTGACATCCTCAACAAAGAGAGGAAGGGAATGATGAAAGAGGCTTGAAGAAGGAAGAGAAAGCCTGGAACAACCTCTATCCTGAGTGGAATATTGAACCAGCTACTAAGGAGTAAAAGGACTGTCTTACTGAGGTGAGGGTCAGGTTGAAATTGGAGAACATAAATTTTTAGTGGACCAGTCACTTCAACTGCATGACTTTCTCCAGATCCGTTCAGCAGGATGTGAGTAGGAATGAAGTAGATGTTGGGTGTAATACAGGATTAGGGTTTGGAAAATGGTGTCAACAGGATCTGGGGCAAAGTAATGTATGAATTAGTTAAATGTAGTGTGGAGATTAAGGAGGGGGGAAAGTGAAGTTAGAGCAGGGATGAAAGCCTGGAAGAATACTGAAGGAGGGAGGATTGGAAGTACAAAGAATAGATTTAGGAGGGATATAGCATAGGGAGAAATGGAGTGATAGAAAGTTATGATATAATAAAGAGATGAGAGTTTTTGATTACTGAAGTGAAACACTTGTTGGAGAGATCAAGGGTGTGATCATCCCTGCATGTAGCTGAAGTGAAGTGGAAGAGGACTGAGGGATTAGGAAAACTGGGGTATGTGGGGACCTCAACATAAATTTGAATGGACTGATAGTGGTAAAGGGAATCTAGTACTGGAAGTGAGGAGCAGAGTACTCCTGCTCACTTTCAAGGACCAGTATGGAAGAGGAGTATGAAAAAAAGTTCAGGAAGTGATAGACAGAATGGCTAGGAATGCACTATCACCTGGGAATAGCCAGTTCTCTAAGTACAAGAAGAGGAAGGAATATGAGAGGAAGAGGTTTAAAAGAGAAATTTGTTAACTACACACAGCAGTTCCAGAGGGCATGGTGGAAAGGGTGAGGAGGGGTGGAAGTGGACATGGGAAAATACCAAGGAAAACTTTGGATTTTCTTCAATACTTACACTTCTCTTTCCTTGAGAGCACTGGGATCTTTCTTCTCTTTCTTTTTTGGTTTTAATCGATCTTTTTCTTTTCTAATAAAATAAAAAAATTAATTTAGGAATAACATCATTTAAAAAGTCCTTATTAAATAAATATAAGTATACCCAACTCTTAATTACTTTTATTAAGGGACAAGAATAATGACTTAGGTAATCTAACTTTGGCTTTTGCTATTAGTAAAATCAGTTCCCTGAAGGCTGCAGTGAGAGCTGCTCTAATAACATACTAGATATTAGGAGATTAGCCTAAGGAGATATCTTAATATCCTGAGATTAAAAACATGTAGAATTTTTAATTTATGCCTGGTTAAACACAAAGTAATTGTGGCTCACAAAGAGACAAATAATTTTATCTCTCAGCTTCTTTATCGAGGATTAAAATCTACATCTAGGTGACAAATTATCACATCAAACACTTCCCCAAACTTTACAAGACTAAATGGGTTAGAATTAGTATTGGCTGATGAATGCAGGAATAGAAGAGAAAAAGCCCTTAACACTGTCAGTGGTATATTTCGGATCTGGCACTTCTTTTATCTAAAACATACAACATTTTTAGTTCATACATGAATAAACGGAAAGTGTATGAGCCACATATTTCTCCAAATAAGGACAAATGTATTAAGAGTTAGTATGGCCTGATGAATACAAGGAAAAGTTCTTCTCAAATACTGTTAATGGCATATTTTTCAGAAGAGCACACTATTCTAAGAGTATAACAATTTAATACAATATGCACTATTCAGCTCACCTAGCCTCTTCTTCTCCCAATCCCCAAAACTCTTGGCTGCCCAAGTGTAAGCTATACCCCACCCCAGCCTCTCTTCCCATTCTCTATCCACTTGTCTCAACTGTTATTTTTCCCATGCTTGTTTTAAAATTTTTTGTGACTGATGCGTGGAAACATCTTATAAAACTTCTTTTGGTAACAGTATCAAATAATTAACTCCAGGCCTCAAAATAAATTACTGGCGTGGTTTAGCAGCAGAGCTTTAACCCAGCCAGGTCTTCTAGACTCCAAGGCCAGTCCTCTATCTACTCTGCCATACCTATAAGATAAATGTTCCAAAATGGTGCTGAGTTTAGTAACTGAAATGAAACTACAAGAATGTCAAAAATTATTTCTTTTGGGAACTAATTACAACCAATTACTTGAGATCAGCTGCATGACAAGCAATCCTACATAGAATAATTCTCCTAAAGAGAAGCTTTTTTAAAATTAAAGTTTGCTTTCAGATCCGCATTTTCCCTTCCCCTAAATTCAAGAGGAGGTTCCTTTAAATTTAAGTCATATTTCAAAACGAGCAACACCTAACCAGGAATCCGGGGACCGAACCTCTGCAAGCAAATTACGACTCTCCTCTAGTCGCGTCTGCTTTAGGACGGTAGCTGATCTAGGCTACTCACAATCTTTCATCGCGTAAACTAAGCATTCGCTTCATGGTCGCGTATTTCCTTGCTTTCTTTTGTTTCCCCTGAAAATAACAGACACCTTTGAGTTAAAATCCTCAGCTCCGTCCCGATATCCCCCGCGATGGCCTTCACCAAAAACCTGGAGTCTACCCGAGACTCCCCCCTCGCCCCTGTCCCCTACTCCCTGGCTCCTGGCAGATGAGCCCGGCGCGGAGTTGACGAGAAAGAAGGGCATCCTCGGACCCCGGCTCGAGAATTCAAGCGTCAAGGGTTCCCTCCGCCTCCGTCAATTTGTTTATTCTCCAGTGAGGAAAAGTGCCGTCCTCCCCAAACCCTTCCCTTCCCACTTTCCTACCATGTTACTAGAGGACTTCACACTCCGAAGTCTGAAGAGCGGCGCACACTTTCTGCGTCAGTCTCCCCGACGTCCGGCGACGCGAAACCCCGGAACCGGAAGTGATGCCAATTCCCTGGGAAACGGAAGAGCTTCTCAAGCGGGACCGGTAACGGGACCGGGGACCGAGGTCTCCGTCGGGGTTGGCGGCCGGTCCGGGGGAGTCGGTGCTGGCACCCCCCCCAGGCAGTGGGGCGGGGACCTGGTGTCGCTGCAGCCCCCACTCAGGGTAACGTCTCTTTTCTACGGCTGGGAACCCCTTCAGGCTGCTGGCTCAGTCCAGGGTCCCCTACCGAGCCCGGGGTCGCGGGGAGGTTGGTCCTATGGCACCTGCTGGTCGGGACCCTGAAATGCCCTTCGCCTCACAGGCTGAAGCCCCCTTACTTGTCCTGGGATGCAGGACTTGGGTAGATTGATTCATTCACCCATTCATTAGGCAGGTGAAGTGCCTTGCATTCTGTAACGCGCTGTCCTATAAAGGAGAATCAGGGCTTAGGTGTATATTCTGGGCAGTACAGCCTTTGTGTATGAGACAGTTGTGGAAGTTGATAGGCGAGGGCCTTGGTGGTGGTTAAAATAAAACAGGCACAAGCTAGAAAAACAGCTTTGTAGCTTTTACCTTTGAGAGAGAAATCTTGTGTGAGTACATCTTTATTCTATACGCACATGCTGAAAATAATTTGAACTTTTAGCTTCCTGTTGGATTCCTTGAAACTAGTAGCATTTCAGTTTCAGTTGTTACTGTATCTGTGTGTATATATACATACTTGTACATACGTGTGCATCTGTAACATGCATATGTGTATATATAGCTTGCACCCTATAAGTATATTCTTGTATATAGCTAGCAATATGTGCTATGTGCATACACATACATGTATGCGTACATGTGTGTATATTTATAGTATCCTATATGTACATATCCTATTGTATCCTAGAATACTGTATATATATACCTAGAATATATGTATACATATGTGTATATGCATATAGCTAGCGTCCTATATGTATATATCCCATATATAACTAGTATGTATATGTAGATATACACCTATGTGTGAAATGTATCTATAATTAGCATCTCATACATGAATATATACATATATATGTATGTGGATGTATATCTATGTTTATATACACATACATGAATATCAATATTTATCTAGCTTTCTGATGGGAACTACCAAAAAATCTATTAAATTGATTGAAAAATTGAAAAATTTGATTAAATATTCAGATTGTAAAAAACGCAGATATATGTTGATGCATGTGTGATTTTGATAGAGATGGTTATTCCATAGTAATAGTCCCAGACTTAATTCTATCTAGTCTTTGGAGGAAATTTGTACAGGGACTTTCTGCTAGAAAGCACTTATGTTAGGATGGTGCTTTTCTCATAAGAGATACTTTAAAAAAAACCTTGAATGAATAAGTGATCTAATTTGATCATCACAGCTCCATTAGGTAAGTAGTGTCAACATTATTCCCATTTTACAAATGAGGAAATGGAGGCTTAGTGAGTCTTTGACTTAACAGAGATCTGACAGTTTGTCAGTGTAGGGATGAGGACTAAAGCTTAGGACTTTTAAGTTCATGCCCTTTTTACTGTGCTATGCTGCCTCATTTTTCTCCATTGTATTTACACATTTTTGGAGGGCATTGTTATTCATATCTGACTCCAGTTGAGTAACATAAATGATTTAAGGTTGCAATAATTTAGTTATCAAAGCATCTCTAGGTCTTGGCTCCTGTTTAATTCTGGCTTATGCAAAGCCAGAGTATGGCTTTTCACCCAGAGGAAAGTGAAAGCCATGGATGGGGTTTTGGCAGATAATAAATAGTTTTTTGGTTTTTACTTCTATTATAAAGAAGTGGAGCTTCTGACTGGTAAATAACATTTTTAGCTGAATCTTTTGGTCTTTTGTATGGTATTGATCTAAGGACTCATAAACCTTTGCTTTAATTATTTGCTTTAGAATTTTATCAATAATCTGTGTCAAGGTCAGTGACCTGTAGTTTGATGAATGCAACTTCTCTTCCCTTCATCAAAAACACCAATCTGTTAGGACTCAGACTCTTTGTCCAGTTAATTAGAAATTTTGTTGAAGTCAGATTAGGACCAAAAAGATCATGATTTAGAGTTTGTGTCCTGAAATTTAGAATTCCTGGAAAATGTTTTAAGTATAGTCATCTTTTATACATTTTTTCCCCTTTCTCAGAAGGTTCCTATATGCTTTTACTTGATAGAGAAATTTCTGGCAGTGATTGAACCATAGTAAGCAGGTCATGACTCATTCTTTGAAAAACATTTGTTTTTTTCTGTTGAGACCTGATACTGTTACCATGCAGGAGTGGCATATATAGAGGCTCCATGTATCTTTGGAGAAGCGCTGTGTTGTTTTGGGTGAGTTAGGATCAAAAACTGCTTAGAATTCTTTGTATACTGATGAATAGAAGAAATAACTTAATTCTGCTCAGAAGTTATAAGAAAAGGATATGTAGTGTTATTTATAGTACTAAAGAAAGAATTCCTATTCACATTTGATCCACAGCCTGAAATCACTGAAGCTCAGACTTGACTCCATCTAGTAACTGGACTGAATCATACTAGTAAATTATGCTAATTTGAGCATTATTGCAGGCATTACTGTTTATCTTATAAATTTTTTATAGGTAAGAGAAATTTGCATGGGCACTTCTTGATATTTTGGAGCCAAAGAATTGCAAGTGGGCTCCTCCTGCTATAATTACCATGGAAATGAGTTAATTAATTCAAAGACATTTTCTGGAATGCCACCATTTTGTTCTTTTCCTTTTCAGTTCTAAGATTCATTTAGTGGCACGTGTCTGTTTTTTACTAGTATCAGTTGACAGTTATAGGTGTAGATTATTGTTTTTTAGTTGTTTACCTACAGACATTAGCATGCTAGATAATAAATGTTTTGCTCAGGAATTGTTTATATTGAAATGTTCTATAGGGAAATTTGAGAGAATGGTTCTTTGTCATGTGGATTGAAGCAAGAAGCCCCAAATTGTCTCTTGTTGCTTCTGTTTGAAAAAAGGATTTTGTTGATTTGTTGTTATTTTCTCTATGTTTTTGTTTTTAAATGTTATTGTAGTTTTACAGTGCTGCTTTTTGAGTCAAAATACAGGTAACAAGACGCTGTTCTTTATGTTAAAGTAGGGGTTTAAAAAGACCGTGTAGTTAATTTTTTTTAAGGCATCAAATTTTAATTTAGATGCTTAATTTTATCACTGAAAAGGTTATAGAAGTGCTTCTAGAGACATTTATTCACACAGGTTCTCCTGATATTCATTTGGTAGTCAGCTATTTTTGGTTTTACATATTGGAGTAATTGACGTCCATATCTCTCTGGATATTAATTCAAATCAGAGTACTGTAATTTAAAAAACATTTATTGAACATCATCATGCTAGGTCAAATTTTATGGCTTTATCAAGGATTCTTTGTGAGGTAACATCATTTTGCATTTTAAATGGTTTGGGCTATGAATTAGCTTAGGTTTAGTTTTCAGAGAGCTTTCCTTGCTTCCCTATGTTAATAAAGAAACTAGGTATTGGACTTGTGACACTAACAGTGATTTTCAAACTTTTGAAATGGAATCTTTATGGTTTTTTATATGAAATTTTAAACATCTGTTATGTCCAGTTTTAAAAAATATTTGTTAAATTTATCATACAAGTACCAAAACTCCCCTGCTTGTCTGTGCTGAACTTCTTTCTGCTCACTTTGATGTATTTTTTAATGTTTCTTTTCCCCTTTTTTTGAATCACTCTCATTCATCAGCTCCTCCCCAAGTATAAGCCCTCCCTTACAGCCATTTATTGTTGTTCAGTTGTGGCTGACTCTTTGTGACTGTACACTGTCCATGGAGTTTTCTTGGCAAAGACTTGGCAAAGAGTCATTTGCCATTTCCATCTCCAGTGGATTCAGGTAAACTGAGGTTAAGTGACTTGCCCAGGGTCGTACAGCTAGTAAGTGTCAGAGGCTGTATTTGAACTCAGGTCTTCCTAACTCCAGGCCCAGCGCTTTATCCATTGTGCCATCTAGCTGTCCATTGTAGCCTATAAATATAGTCAAAACAAATCAATGTATTGGCTGTGTTTCTTTATGTATCTCTAGTCTATTACCTCTCAGGGAAGCAGTGGGAAGGAAACGTGCTTTATCATCAATCTTCTGCATTCATTATTGGTCATTTATTTGTGACTTTTTTAGAGGAGATTCAGAGAGTTCTTGATCTATGATTTATTTAATCACTGTAGGGAACTGCAGGAGAAGGAACTCCCTCTACCTATGGGGAATTGGCATTTGCTCTGCAGCTTTCTTTAAAAATTGCCTGAGGACATTGAAAGGTTAAGTGTCTTGCTCAGGGATTTGAACCTGGGTCTTTCTGATTCCAAGTCTAGCTCTCTGTTCTTTTTTAACACACTGCCTTTTTTGCATAGGTTTTCAAACCTTAAATCCCAGCTTCATGTGGGTACTATGGGGTCCAGAGGAGATAATCATTTGGTCAACAAATATTTGTTAAGTGGTTACTGTGTGTGAGGCATTGTGCTAAGTGATGGGGATATGACAAAGGCAAAAAAAAAAGAAAGTCCGTACTCTACTCTGCTCTCGTTTTAATGGGGCAACAACATGAAAAAAAACTAGATAATACAAGATATATACAGTATAAGTGAAATCTCAGAAGGAAGACATGAGAGGTGGGAGACGAAACTAGGAAAGGCCTCACAAATTATGCACTTGTACTATGACCATGCCTTCCTATTAGAATGCAGTGGAAAATGTAAAAAAACTTAGCTCTAGGAGACTTTTTAAAATAAAGAATTAGAAACATTGTGTTTTAATTTGTTATAAGTCCATGTGATTAAAAGACCCTTTTCCTCATGTAACTGACTTAAACAAGGACATATAATTTTGCA